TGGAACAACAAAGGCGAGAGTTTTACCTGATCCAGTAACTGCCTCTGCCACAACATCTTTACATGATAATATAAGAGGAATTACAGCTGCTTGTATTGGAGTCATTGTTTTAAAACCTTGTTTATGAATGCATCTCAGTACTGGTTTTGATAAAGCAGGTGTAACTTTAATCCAATCTTTGTTAACCATTTTTCAATCAAATAAATGTAGTTCAAGAAAAACGTAAACATTAACATGTGGAAATTGACAAGTGTTGACAAGTTGACAATTGACTTGACATTGACATACAAAATTACATTCATATTTGTAATTCTAAAGAGAAAATTATATATTTCCACAACCCCAACACAATTTCACCCGTGAGACTTCAAAGAATATCAGAAGAAACTACCACTTTGGACTGAGCCTGTTAAGTTTTCTTGGTACCATACGTTTGTACTTCAAACTATGCTTTCAAATTTATACAACTTTGCGTTTAATTAGGATTTATTAAAGGTGAATTAAATGTAATTAACGTAGTTTCCTGGAATATAAAACAATTGATAATTATAATTAGCGGGGTTCAAGTTGGGTCAGTATAATAACTGGGTTAAAATTATAGTATTTAAAGAACATGATAAAGTTATCTGCTTGTTTAAGCGTTGTAGGTTCAGAACGCAACACGTACTTGATCAATATGGCGCATGTTGATATGACAAATTGACAGCTGTGTTTTGCCTTTGTGCGAACGTTACATTTATTGTAATGTTTTGCTTCACATAACGAGCCCACCAAATAAAATATTCAACAATGACTCGACCATTCGGTAATAGTGACAAACGTTTTTCAATCGATGACGCTTTTGAAGAGGAAACCGATGAAGCGATAAAAGTGTACGGTGCGACGGGTGATAGATCTCCTCTGCAGAATAAATACAAGAATGGCGGTGACTATATAGCCAGGTATGGTGTCTTTAATTGTTTTTATTTTAAAAAGTCCATTCATAAACACCGTACAAAAAGTCCATCTCCCGTAAACCATAAGATGTTCTTGACCTTTCCGTGAGTCATTTTTCCGTAGTGGGGCAAAGGTGTTTGAACTAATCTTGCGATCCGTTAGAATACTTATTCACACCATAACGATATGCTAAATACTCGCTAATATTAGTTGAAAGTAGAACATAAAACTATAACAGTCTCATAGCATTCTCATACAATTTTACTTATCTTGTTAACATTTGTATGTTGAATGATAAAAGGCTTTGTAGATAGGATCGAAATGTGAAAAACAAACCTAAAAAATAAATGCCTAAACTTTGAAGATTAGTTTTCTTCATCATAATGTTGTTTAATTTCTGCAATAAACAACTATAATATACAGGTTACGTTTATTCTATGCTGGTACATAAAGTGTTGCAAATAATTGCTACTCTAAATAATCTTCGCACGAATTGGCCCGGTTCGCCCGGTGAAATACCACGACCACAAAGAAGACAGGTGTGAAGTGGAAGCAATTCCGCGTTTCGTCTGATGAGTGTGCATCCCGGAGGCCTAATTTAGTCCTCTTTCCCTTCCCACCTTTTTCTTATAAGGAAAGGATGGGAAGTGGAAGTGGACTTTCCGGATGAGAGGATGCATGAAAATGTTTTCTTTCTGTGCATAGTTTCCTCCGTAGATTAAAGGTAGGCAACGCATATGCGTGTGTCTATGGGCAACGGTCACTTCGCTATTTCAGGTGGCTGCTCGCTCTTTGCCACCTTATGATATAAAAAAAAAATATAAAATTATACTGTGTATCAACACATAGGAAGTTAAGAACCACTAAGATATCTGAATACAACAATACATAGATAAATAATATTCTGTAGATCAATAAGAAGCCTGAGTAATGTATGAATTAAATTAAATTATTGTACAGTTGAGATATCTTTATCTTGTTTGTGCAGTTCAAGGTAACACTATAATGTTACATTGCATATGTTTGTAAACTGACAATACGGAAAATGAAGAAATGGAAACTAACGCAAAATTAATAATCATGACTTTCTATTATCCATTATATTATTAATATGTAAAACAAAACTTCATTATTATTTCAACCAATTGGTGACCACTAGAAAACAAAAACGTCAAAAAAATCATTTAGCAGTATTCACAAACCTTTCAAGATCAACTTTTATACTTATTAAATTAGTAATATCTAAATATCAATTGTCTTTTACAGTAAAACATACAAATGTACAGAGGATACAACATCAAGGGACTCGGACTCATTAATCCACGAATATGTAGAAGCTACACAGTCAATGTACTGTTGGAACCATCCTAAAGTCCGAGAGAATTGGAAAACGGTCTGTGCAGCCGTCATCCTCCTTCTGGTAGGAGTAGGTCTCCTTGGTATGGGAGCATTTGCTGTTGCCGAACCTGAAAATGGACTCCAAGGTGCTGTATTCTTTGTTGCCGGTATGATATGCTTTGTTCCAGGAGCTTATCACGTTGTTTACATCTGGTTAGCTGCACGAGGACAGAGAGGTTATGACTTCTATCATCTACCATTATTCACTTGATTTGTTTAACAGAAAAACGGAGTACGAATTTCATTCAGTATGATTGTGATTGAACGAAATGCTCTCTATAACATTGCCCCTTTTTTAAATGTAAAGAATGGATCAAAAATTAGTACAACCTACATTTTTCCTTCCATGCTTGAAACTTACTGCATTTAGATGTAACGTTCACATATAAGTCATAAATAAAATGTTTTATGAACTGTATATATTCTGAAAAATTATCAAAGTTGTGAGATTTTTTTTATCATCTACTTAAAAATTTAATATTGTAATTGAAGTGCCTAGTTATGTAGTGTTAGTCAATAATTTTAGTTCTATTATATTTTAATAATAAATAAACTCTTATATATTGATTGTAATTATAATAGGTCATTTGACTTTTTGTACATATGTAAAGGCACATTAGGAAATTGTAATATGGAATAAACATTTTAATATTAAAAATGTAATGTTTTGAAAACAAGTCAAAAGTCCTATTTTAATTACAATTAAACTGTATTTCTATATATAACATTATTAATATATCCTTGTATGTTCAAAAAATCCTTTGAAGAATTGTGACATAAATAATATGTATTGGTTCAAAAAATGTAATAATTTGATTATATATTTATTTATTAAAATAGATGTAATTAATAAAAAAAATGATTATTACTTTATTGGTATTGCTATAATATGAAATTTAAATTATTGTCCAAACAAAATTAAACTTCTAAATGAAATATAATTTATGGTAGCCTAGTACTTTATAAAAATTCTGAACATCATTTTATGTTTTTTTTTTAAATTGCATAATATAATATTTCAAATGCCATTGTTGTTATTTTTTTTTAATTGATACTATTTAGTTTGATTTACTATATAATATCAATTTATCAAAAATTGTAAAGACATTTTTTGTTTTAATTAGCAATTTCGTGAATTGCACAGCTCAGTGGAAAATATATATCATTTACCATGAGATTCTGAGACCAAAATTTCCGTTTAAAACATACTTTTTTAAACGGAGGTTTCGGTCTCGGAAACTCATGGTTAGTGTCCTGGGATATATTTGTCAGTTAGGTATATATCAGTAGGTTTTGTTTTTAATTTTCCAACATATTATTTCAAAAGACAAAGCCTTTTATATCTTATCAATTGTATGTATTTCAAATATTTCTTTTAGTTTGAAATTTTGTAATAATAATGATAAAGTTACACTTACTTAAGTTAGTTACAACTTATATAACTTACAAAATCAACTATCGATGAAATATTACCAATTTAATTGTTTAAATAATATCTGTGTATTCACAAATTTTCAATGAATTTTATTTACAAGAAAGTAATATTTTCGTCAAAAAAAGTTACCTATTTGGGAAATAATTTGAATGTAACCAGCTATTTGCGAACTGTATTTTTTTGATAAAATATAATTCAGTTTTTGTGTCATTTCTAATATTTTACAGTCATGTGTTACCAATATATTCTGCAAAACACTATATATAAATAATTATGTATCTGCTTTTATTGACTGTATTCGGAAGCGGCTGGACCGATTTTAATGAATTTATGTTTATATGGATTACCAAAGGTTATGTTTGGCAATTGTATGTAGTAGGTAGTACTGCCATTAAGTTGTTTTAACTAATAATTAATAAAATATTAATCAAAAGTTCATTCAACACGAAATATAGCATCTTGTAGGAGTAAATTATATCATCATCAGCTCACTATACGTCCCCACCGAGGGGCTCAGAGCCTACCCTAAGTTAAGGGTGATTAGGCCATAGTCAACCACGCTGGCCAAGTGCGGGTTGGTTGACTTCACACATATCTTTGAATTTCTTCTCAGGTATGTGCAGGTTGCATCACTATGTTTTCCTTCACTGTAAATTATATAGTAGACCCATAAATGTCTAAATAAAGGTAACAAAAGAAATTATTAACTTTCAAAGCTTTATATTTATTGATAACTACTCTTACTCTTAGGCATAAAACAGCAAAAATCCAATTGGAATAATCTAGTCAAAGTTTTGCAAATAGCTGGTTCCATTAAACTTGTGTTCTATTTATTTCTTTAGATTATTGTGATACAATTAGTGACTGATTATTTTTTGTTGTATGTATATCATATTGGAAACATGTATTTAAATCTGATTTCATGCTAAGGAACTATTGTTTGTTTATGTATTATTTGTAATATTGTACATATTAATTTAATAAAAGTCATCTTTAACTGAATTTCCTTTTAACTTTAATTTAAAAATTGTGCAGCCATTAATAATTATAAAGATGTTAAAATCAGTTAGCTGAATATATAATAATTCACTTAAAAGTCTTATTAATGAGCTGCTTATAAACTAATTAGTTTATATATACGCATATCCAGTTATTGTTTCCAAGTCAGGTATAGAAAAACTTCGTTATTTTTAGGCATTAGAATATTTGCAGATAGTAATAGTCAAGTAAATACAAATTCAAACTTATCCTTTATTAACAATATAATAAAAATATCAATCTTGTAACATTTTCCTTGATATCCTTTTTAATTTGAAGTGCTGTAGAAATCTCAATTCACCATTCCAATTCTTTAGAACCTCCATTTGTTGTGGATTCATTAAATCTGGCATTTCCAGGCCGCACGATTCAAACTCTCCCACCTCGCGTTCCTTCGTTATTTTTATGATATCTTCTCTACTCGCGTGCTGGCGACTTTTCCTTTGACCAACTGAATTTTTAATTGCTATTTGTTCCAATTCCTCGTCAAATCGTGACAAATAAGTTTGTACTAAATCCAAAGTTTGTTCTTTAGTTAAAGTGGTACAATCCGGAGGTACTCTTTCCTTAAACCACATAATTTTTTCACCGATTAAATTATTTTTAATATGTGTACCAAGTTTATTTTGATTTTTCTTTTCACCTTTTATCATCTTTTTTGCGAGTGAAATTGTCTTCCTGCTATTTGGATGCTTTAGTTTGTCTAAACTCGGCTTTGCTTTAGGCATCTTGAATATATTCAGTTTAAACTTACAAAAACACTAATTTTAAAACTTATAACCTATCATACACGTTTTCAGTTGACATTGACACATGATAGGCAACCAAAACAAATCAAAAATATAAATATCACATGGTTGGTGTTACCATACTCATAAGGAAGGCAAAAAAGTTAAAACAGTATTACTAGTTAATTAATAAAATGGACATTGTATTTCATCATTATCAGCTTACTATACGTCCCCACCGTCATGTGTCTTTCAATTTCTTTTCAGATATGTGAAGGTTGCATCACTATGTTTTCCTTCACCATAAAAACGTCGGACAAATGTAGACAAAAGTACATATGAACGTGTATCGAACATCAAAAAACACATTGGTAAATGGCGGGTTTCAATCCCATTAATCCCTGAGCCACCGACACTGACATTGTATTTAAATCTATATTACAAACATAAGCACAATTTCTAAGATTAACTTCAAAGAACTGGAAGTTTTTAAATTGTGCAATGCTTCTCTTTACAACCAAAGACCAAATAAGATATGACCTAAAGGTCTATGTTACCAGGTCATAAAATTAAAAAAAAAAGAAAAACAAACAAAGACAACATTTTATGTTATCGATCGATTGGGAAAAATATGAGTGATAGAAGCTTCTGAAATGAATAATGTAATGTAGTTTTGTTTTCTGATCTGATTGAGAGTTATATTTCGTAAAAATGATAAGCAGGCCTAAGCCAGGAGAAACCGAAGATGACTTATTAAAAATGCAGGAGGAGTTTCTAAAAGAAAAAAGCCAAAACACAAATTATCAACCGGCAGCACAAGTAGTTAATTTACGTCGCACAGAACATCAAACAACTAAAAGAACTATCTCTAATGAAACAACTTTCCGAAAACCTTCGAAATATGCAGTTTCCAAAGGACTCCCTGGTAATAATGAAAAACGGCCACGTACTGAAGCAAGCACTAGTACTTTTATGGGTGAAATTGTGGAAAAAAATTGCGAATCTGTAGATGATAAGAGTGTAGAAATCGATGATGACAAAGTATATTACCCTAAAGCATTACCATCTGTATTAGGCACAATTATTGAAAAAAATAGTGATAAACAAATTGATTTTCATTGTAATGATCAAATTCCATCCGAGGGTTTTCCGGCGGTTATTAAACTTGACCCGTCCATTACACCAGGACGTAAAAGTATTCATGCTCAGCACTTAGAAAAATTAGGGGGTATAAAAAAAATGAAAATGGATATTGATGAACCACATTCTAGTAAATCATCTTTAATAAACCAACAACCATCACCTAAGCCCTCAAATCTTCCAAATAAAAGTTTCATTATATCATCAAAAGATGCAGATTCAATTCATAATGAGAATAATGAAACATTGAGAAGCATGTCAGAAAAAGAGATTTTGGAGGAACAGCAAAAAATAATATCAAATTTGGATCCCAAATTAATAGAATATATCAAAACTAAACGTCAACAAACAACTTCAAAAGAAGAAGCGCAAAGTGTTACAAGCTCAAAATCAACAGACTCAAGTAAGCCATGCACAGAAGAAGTAAAGACCATAAATAATGAAGAAAAAGAACTAAATGATCAATATATACAGGATAATGATATACTGTCAAATCCAAATGTTAACAAATGGGTACATTTTGACCAACTTGAAAAAGACAAACTAGAATGGATGAAGGCAATTTCAGAGAGCAAAGAAGACAAACCAGAAGAGCTATATGAAGCAAGATTTGACTTTAGAGGATTATTGTTGCCATATACAAGTAAATACACAGAAATGACAAAAACATTATACCATCATGGTGAAGAACCACATAGACCTGGATACTCCATCATAGAACTTATAGAGCTATCCCGCTCTACCATAATCCAACAAAGAGTTATGGCACTTAATACAATAGCTGGTATTCTAGAATTTTATATCGCTGGTACCTACAAAGACACACTGGAACTACCAATTACCAAACTCTTTTTTATAATAAGAATAGCAATGGATGAAAATAAAACTATAATTTTAGAACCCGCACTGAATGCTATGAGAAATTTACTTTACAACAAAATAGATGAAGCAGCTCTTGATGCTTTAATAGGCTTTGAAGAAGGTTCGTACCAACCTTGTCTTGAAAATGATAAATCGGAAATTGTAGAACTTGAATCTAAAGAATCAGAGTTTAAAGATTTTCATCTTGCTGAAATAGACTTGATTGCAGCTCTTTTAAGAACTGATATACTCCAGAGAATCTATTACATATTGGACATGATAAAACCTAATTTCAATTGTGTCCAATTCAGTTTACAAATTTTAATCAGACTTTGTAGAGACTCTGAAAGTACTGTGAACAAAATTATTGAAATGGATCATCTGATGTCTGTTATTGTTACCAACTTTATACCAAAAACTAGCATTAATTTTAATTTTGATCCAAACATTGTGTACAAGGGAAAACCAATATTATCTGCTTTAAAATTTTTACGTGTTCTAACATTACAAACAAAAGAAATTGGAGATACAATGATTATAAAATATGGAATATTGCAACCTTTATCTGAGTACATTTGCTCAAAAGTTGATGGTACATATGGATTTAAAATTCAAATAGAAGCCTTGAGTATATTATCTAATCTACTTCATTATGGACTTGGTCTTGAAAGTTGTCTTGCTGTTTGTCCTACGGTAATAACAATGTTGTATAATCATGTTCAAGGAACTGATGTTGATATGAAATCATCAATAATATCTGCAAGTCATGCAGCTGTTGTTTTACAGTTTATTAATAAATTGCTCCAGTGCAATTTAAATCTGGATAGTTATAAGCATCAAATATATCCATTATTGAGAGAAGGAGTAAAAAAATGGATTTCTCAAGTGTCAAGTTTCACTTGTGGTCAAAGTTTTACTTGTGGTCATTTAAGATTTGTATGTTCTATCCTGGATTGTTGTGCAACTGTTATGAAAAACGAGAATCAAACGATGCCATTTCTAAATATTACTTTGGAAAATTTAATGAAATCACCCGGTTTTAAGGGAATAATCAACCACTTGGTACTAAGTTCAAATTTACTATCTGGAATCGAGAATAACAGTTTTCATACCATCAAAAATCTAGTCAACCTTAATAGTATAGTCAATGGTTCAACACAAAGTAATTTACCCATTTTAAATATGAAATCTCCAATACCGTTTCTTACATCTCTGTTTAAATTATTGGCAATCATTAATGACATAAATATTTCAAATGGTTTCATTGAACATATTCTGAAGTATTTGAGAAAATTCGCAAATATAAGGCCTACTTTATGTGACAATTGGTTTACAAGAATGGAAACTGACTTTCTATTTTATATTATAAAGATCGCAACTCAATGTAATTTTGCAGAGTCTGAAAAAGATTTGCTATACACTGTTGCTAATAAACTGTGTTATATACTTCGTGCAGATAAAAAGATGGAATTGGAGTTTCTTTTTGATAATATAATATTTAATAAACAATGGTTCAGTTCGGAAAGACTATTCAGTCTTTTATCTTTATCGGAAAAAGATGGAGTTACAAAAGTTCTGACAGATGCAAATGATATAAAATCATGTTATAGTAGTGTTATTAATCTAAACTACTCCAATAGTAACTTGAATGTTGTGTTGAAGAAATGGAAAGAACCCATACTACCCAGAGACTGGATTTATTTGCCAATTTTGACTCTTTATGGCAACAGTCAGGAAGTAAAGTCCACTCCTAAAGTAGCTGGTGAACATGCTAGTAAAGTGGCAGAACAAGAAGCTAAGACAAAAGAACTTATCCTTAACAGTAGTTTGGAATGGATTCTTTTCAATGAAATGTGCTTTCCTGATCTTTTAAAAGAAATTGATGTAACTGACAGGTTTTGTCGCATTATGTGTGTTTTCCTCTGTGATAATTCATTATTTCTGGAACCTTCAATCAAGCTACTTTTACGTAAATGCACTGAAGTTCTTTTCAAGAGTGGAAACAAATTTAATTTTGATAAAGATCTAACTGGTTTAAATAACTTCCAAGATTTTTATATGCAATTTCTTGAACATTTTCAAGGAGTAAGCTATGGAGACCCATGCTTTGCTGCATGCGTGTTGGTGCCATTAGCTCAGAGGCATAATGTGAAATGGCGAAAAATGTTATGGTCAGAATATGCTGGATGCCTCAGAGCATTGGATTGTCCTGACGATTATTTATGTTATGAATTAAATGATTATTTATACCCGGAAGAGAATGATGAGTCTCTTTTGAAATGTTATTTTAGAGCGCTAAACAGTAATTTAATGAGGCGAGGAACAATTGTATACAGAATAGCTGAGCACCATGTAAATAACTTTAAATTAAGGAAAACATCAAATGAATAAAAATAAACGTTATTGTCTCCTTCATACTTTCTAGTCTTTTTTGTGTTTTATTTTTTATTTTAGTTGTTATTGACTAAAATCCACTGTCAGTCGGTTTATAAAATACTAGTTTACTCCGTCCGCGCGGAGTAAAAAAAATACAATGAGTAGATTATGTGTTCTTCCAGATTATGTTCAACATCTCGCTCAAATTAAATCAAAATCCGTTCCGGAGATTCCTAAAAACAAACATCTATCCATCTAAACATTCGCTTTTATAATATTATTGAGATTCATTACGATTTTTTCGTATACTGTACAGTCAGCGTCATAAACACCGTAACAGACAAGATATGCAATTATGTCGGTACAACAAAAGTCCTCAAATTAATAGATACACTCATCCTGCTCAAAAACATCGGTACATACACAGCGTCATATGTATCTGAGTACATTCAAGGTGCCCATAAATATCGTAGTAGCCACAGCGTCATAAGTAACGAAGCAGTCAAGGTGTGCAAAAATATCGTAACATTTGACAAAATTGAACTCTATCTCTATATACTTATAGTACAATTTTGAATAAACTACTTCTGTTACATTCAGTTGACACTTTGTATTAACATTATAGGTTGCCCAGAAAGCTCGTTCCGATTTTCGATAGGAAGCTTAGAATAGACTGTAGCTGAAGTGGACTCATGTTCGGATTTCCACCATTATCAAACGTCACAAAAATTTCTATATTGTGAATAATTTCATTTCATTGGTTAAGATAAAAACTAATTATTAAATTTTTGGCCAAAAATAAAAGACGTTTTAGATGTAGAGTCGTACCAATATAATTTAAAAATATTTCCAAAAATTTAAGAGAAAAGGGTTTCAATTTTCCTTATAAAGCAGCATGAACTTACTGGGCAATCTAATATTTTTCTTATCCTGTCATAACGCTTAAATATAAAAGTTTGTCACGCCGAACATGACAGATACGTAATAGCTAATATCAAATTTTGCCTTGTCACAGTATATACTAGTTTGGCTCAGTATTCTAGTATGTTTTCCGTAATATGTAAGTTCTTCTTCTTCTTCTTCTTCTTCTTCTTCTTCTTCTTCTTCTTCTTCTTCTTCTTCTTCTTCTTCTTCTTCTTCTTCTTCTTCTTCTTCTTCTTCTTCTTCTTCTTCTTCTTCTTCTTCTTCT